CTTGTAGAATTCAGCAGTGAAGCCATCAGGGCCTGGCCTTTTCTTAGTTGATAAGTTTTTAATTACATTTTCAATTTCATTGTTTGATATTGGGTTGTTCAGAATTTTTAGGTCTTCTTTGTTCAACTTGAGTAATTCATATGTATCTAGGAATCTGTCCATTTCTTCTGTGGTGTCCATCTTATTGGTGTATAGGTTCTGGATGTAGGTATTGATGATCCTCTGTATTTCTGCTGAGTCCATTGTAATTTCACCCTTTTCATTGCTATTTGCATGGATTTGGGGCTTTTCTTTCCTTTTTTTGATAAGGTTGGCTAAGGGTTTGTCAATTTTTTTTTGTTCTTTTGAAGTACTAACTCTTTGTTTCATTGAGATTTTGTATCATTCTCTTAGTCTCCATTGCATTGATTTCTGCTCTGAGCTTTGTAATTTCCTCCCTTGTATGAGCTTTGGGTTTCTCCTGCTCTTCATTTGGGTTTCTCCTACTCTTCATTTTCTAGAAGCTTAAGCTTCTGCATCAGGTTGTTTACTTAAGCTCAATCTGTTTTCCTAGTATGAGTATTCACTGCTATGAATTTCCCTTGTATGACTGATTTCACTGTGTCCCATAGATTCCAATATGTTCTATTGACACTGTCATTTAATTCTAGGAACTGTATGATTTCTTCTTTAATTTGCTCTGTGACTTATTGATTATTCAGAAGTGTGTTGTTCAATTTCCATGTATTTATGAAATTCTTAAGGTTTCTTTTGCTATTAATCTCCAATTTCATCACACTATGGTCTGATAATATACAGGGGATAACTTCTATTCCTTTGTACTTACTTAAACATGTTCTATGAGAAAGAATGTGTTCTATTTTGGAGAATGACCCATGTACAGCTGAAAAGATTCTATATTCTGCTTTTGTGGGGTGGAACACTCTGTAAACATCTTTTAAGTTCAATTGTTCAAGAGTTTGATGGAGTTCTAGTCATTCATTGTTTATTTTCTGTCTAGTGGATCTGTCTATTTGTGACAGTGGGGTATTGAGGTCCCGTACTACTATTGTAGTAGTGATTATTTGGTTTTTCATGTCCATTAGTATTTGTTTTATATAGTTGGGGACACTAGTATTTGAATATATATTTATGATTGTCATCTGTTCCTCTTGGATTGTTCTGTTTATGAGTTTCTTTTTGAATTGAGTGTGTTTCTTGTATTCAGCATATCGTTGGATCTTGCTTCTTGATACATTCTGGCAGTCCATTTTTTTTGAATGGTGAATTGAGACCATTAACATTGATGGTTATAACTGACATGTATCAACTTATCCTTGTCATGACTTTTTCATTTTATTGGATTCTCCCTGTTTGTATTTAATTTCTTGTCATGGCTGATGGATTCATTCTGCTGGTCTTTGTAGAGTTGTGATCCTTATTGTCTTCTCCTAAGATATTGCTTAAAAATTGTTGGAGTGCTGGTTTGGTATTCATGAAGTTCCTCAGGTGCACTTTCTCATGAAAGCATCTTTTCACTCCATCAATATTTTTTGGTACCAGGGATTGAACTCGGGACTTTGTGTATGCAAGTTGGGTGGTGTAACCACTGAGCTCAATCCTCAGCCCATTTCTCCATAAATTTTGAAGGATAGTTTTGCAGGGTACATTCATCTGTTTTGGAAGTTGTTTTCTTTTAGAGATTGAAATACCTCAGTCCAGGCTCTCCTTGATTTGCGAGTTTGTGTTGAGAAGTCTACTGTGATTTTTATGGGCTTTCCTTTGTATTTGATTGGTTTCTTTTCTCTAACTGCTTGTAGAATTTTTTTCTCTTGTTGGGTTTCTGGAATCTTAACTATTATATTTCTCGGTATAGATTTTTTTTTTTTTGATCATGGCTACTTGGAGTCCTATATGCCTCCCTTTTCTGTATGTCAAGTTCTTTTCCCCTGCTTGGGAAGCTTTCTGCCATTACTTCTGTGAATAGTATTTTTAATGTCATTTGCACTCTCTCCTGTTTCTTCATTGACTCTGCTCATTGTTATGTTATTCATGATTGGATGGTCTCACAGCTGCTGGACTGATTTATCATAGTGTCTTACTATTTATAAGAAATGTTTCTTTTCCTAGTCACTAATTGCAATCTTATCTTCTATATCTGAAATTCTGTCCTAACATTGTCTCATTCTGCTGCATAAACTTTCAGTGGGGCTTTTAATCTGGAAATCTGTTTGCATCTGTGTCATGGATTCCATTTGTTTCCTATGTTAGAACATCATGTTCCTCAGGTCCTCTATTTTTTTTTTTTCTGTGTCTGCTCTAGATTTATTAATCATGTCTTGCACTATCTGAAAAATTATTTATTTTCTTTTCTTTTTCTTTTTTTGGTACTAGGGATCAAACTTGAGACCTTGTGTTTTCGAGGCAGGTGGCCAAACCACTGAGTTAAATCTTTGCCACTTGAGAAATTATTTTTGATTTCATTTTTTCCAGATTCTCTTTCATTGCTAGTTCAGAGAGTCCAGGTATTTGAGTTTCAGATTGGGCCATCTCTTTGCCCTTTGAGGTTCCCTTAAGTGATCTGGAAATCTAGTCTTATGACTTGTATACATGTCTTTTCATTTCAATAGATGCAGCCTGATGCACCTTTATTGAGGTGAATTTTTGCTCACCCAGTGGTCTTCACTTCTCAGCAAGCTACAGAGAGGCCTCTTCTCTGTTGTTCACCACTATGCCAATTCCTGGGTTCAGAATGGTGGCCTTCAGATTTCCTGAGCTGCCCTGTTGTCCAGGCTTTGTTCTGGCTTAGGTCTGTGCACACTTGGGATGGTATGTGGGGATGCCTCTGACTTGGACCTGGCCCCCTATGTAGCTATTTTCTGGGAGAGCATTTGGCTACAATTTGGGCAGCCCAGTCACTGATGTCAGAATGGGTTTCTGGCTGAGGTTGCCACACACTTATCAATGGTATTGGTGCAGGCCTCTGGCTGTTGCTTGTGCACCTGTGTAGCTCTTTTCCTGGTGGACCTTTGGCTAAGTCTGTGGGTCCAAGCTACTAGGGTTGGGGTGGGGCCCTGGCTAGGACATGCCTGCAGCCACACTGCTCTGGTCCATGCTGGCTTTTAGCTGGGATCTTAGTGTACATACTGATGTTAACTTAAATTTTATTTTGAGACAGGTTCTTGCTTAGTTGCTCCTGAGTGGCTAGAATTAGAGGTGCGTGACTGTGCCAGGATGTAAAATGGTTTCTATAGTGAAACAAATTACATATGCATTATCTCAAATTTTTAGTCATTATTCCACCAGCCCCTTCCTGTGGCAAGATCAGCTATAATTTACTCATTCAGAAAAAGTCCTAATGACTGTTAATAACTCTAATGCTTATGTTGTTCATTAATTCTTTCTCCTTATGTGTGCTAGGCATCAGCTGCTCTGTGCCCTCTGATCTGCACTTCCAATATCCTTCCCACTGTAGCCTGCTAACCACTGTCTTGTCTTTGTCTCTGTCTGTCTCTTTGTCTCTATCTATTTCTATGTGTCTCTCAGACTCCCCCTGTGTGTGAGGTCATGCCCTGGCTTTCTTTCTGCCACTGGTCTGTTCTCCAAGTCCACTCATGTGTGGCAAGTGGCAGGCTCTCTTCCGGTCCATGAGGATAACTAAGGCTCTGCTGTGTGTTTATGTTTATATCTGCATGTGGTCTCCTTGCCCCTGTCTACTCCTGTTGGGGCCCTGGAGCCATTCTGCCTCCTGGCCAGTGTGCATAGTGTCATGTAAATGGTTCAGATGTCATCTTCTCTAGGGAGCACCCAGAAGAGGACCTGCTGGGCCTAGGTCATAGAGCCTGTGTCCAAATCCTGGGCTTCCAGGGTGACCTGGACAGGGCACTAATCTGTACCCAGACAACAGTGGACAAGGCCCCTTGCCCACACCCTCACCAACTTCTGTTCCCTGTCAACTCTGATGCCTCACTATGGAAACCCAGGCATTTTATGAAGGTGTGTTCCTCAGCAATGAGACCCTTGGCAACCACTATGGGTACAAAAGGCAGGTACATCCTTGAGGACTTAACCTGGTACTCATTAAAACTAAGATTTGTGTTTTCTTCTGAGGCAGTTTGGACTTAAAAGCTTTTTTCTTTTTTTTTTCTCTGTGGTTCTGGGAATCAAACTCAGGACATTGTGCTTGCAAGGCAGGTGTGATGTAACTGAGCTAAATCCCCGGCCCTTGAAAGCTTTTTCTTTGTTTTTTTTTTTTAGTTTTGTTTTGTTTTGGCAGGTCCTGGAGATTGAACTTGGGACCTTGCACTGTAAGGCAAGCGGTGGAACTACTGAGCTAAATCACCGGCCCACTTAAAAGCTTTTTCTAAAACACAGAAACACTTCATGTAGGCCTATACAGGTATAATGAGTAAATAAAATCAAACAAAGATTGATCTTCAGTTGTTTCTGCCTTTATTACCTTAAACTTTGGGTCAGATTGATTTTCATCTCTCATATAGGCATGTTAGTCTTGTAGGAAGTGTCTGTCTGCAAACAGCAATACACGGTTGAGTAGCTCTGCATTTACACAACCCACTGCCTCCCCTTTAAGACAGAGGACACTGTCATAAGAGATTTACAGGGATATTCAATTATGGATGAGTGCTGGAAGTCTCTGTCACTGCCTTAAACCAACCATGGAATATAGGAGAAACTGAAATCTGACTCTACCAAGAAGAAATGAGTATCTCATAGAGATTGGATTTCATCCACTAATGCTAAGGACTTCTCTGAAACCATTGTAAATAACCCAAACTGAGGCAATGATCAATTTGACCCTAGCCACTCAAAGCCCTTGTATAAAAACTGCTTCATTCCTTTGTTTGTGGTCCAGGCTGATCCCTTCTATCAGAGCTGTGCCTTCTTCAGCTCCTCAACCTTTCCCATTTTCTCTTAATGCTTAACTGTGCCTAATGAATCAGCCCTTGTCTTTCACTGACCCTTCCTGAAATGCTTTTCTCTAATAAGATGTCAAGAACCTGCCGAGGCTGAGTTGAGGTCCACATCTTCTCTTGAGGTGGGGGATTCCTTGGAAACTGTCCCGTGAAAGTGTCAAATTCAGGTTAGTTCTATGCAAAGGAGAAAGACAGAATTATTTGGAGAGTGAAGATTGGATGTTGGATGTGGGCACTGTGTATAGAGGTGGGGGTGTGGAATAGGGTGATGGGCAGTGTTTCCATCAAGAGTACTCCTCTCTAATCCATGTTCACCCATGCCACTCAGTAACCCTTAGGATACAGGGTTGGGGACATCACCACCTTAACTGTCAGCCTGCTTGCAATAAAATATTCCCTTCTCAGAGTTTGAAAAAACTCAGTGGACTACATCATATGTGGGGACAGAAGGCATGAAGAAACAATGAAGAAACCAATGGTTTCTTCCTTCTAGAGAGAATTGTGTTTGTGAATATGAAACAACCAAATAAACAAAAACAAGCAAAACTATAATACCACAGAAGATCCAGTATCAAAGAGACAAGTTTTGTTGCTTGAGTTTAACTCTCATTTCCTTATCACAGGATAAGGAGCCTGTACCAACGATTCTCCATTCCTGTCTCTGGACCAAGAGTTGTCCCAACCTAGACACAATTGCACTTGATCCACAGGGCTGTAACATGGGACACACATGTAGCTCATGCAGAGGGAGTGAAGCAGATTCACTGGGCAGGCAAGCAGAGAGGTAAGAGCATTGCCATGTCAGAGTCATAGTCCGCTGAGCTACAGGCCTGATTCTCCCCAGTGCCTCCTGAAACAGAGCTAACCCTCCAATGGGAGTCTGCTGTGCCCACGATTGCTCCACTGGAGGAGATGGGAACCTTGCTTGGGGAATTAAATCTGGGAAAGTTTCCTTTGATCACACAGGGAAGGAAAACACATTCTAGGGGAAACCTAAGAATTTGTTCCTTACTGGAGGTGCAGTCTCGGCCATGACATTTACAGAAAGTACACATTCTGTATTGCCGAGTGACATCTGGTTTTGTTTGTGACTTCAGGCCACATCTTAAGTTGATCTAGTGGAGTGTTGTGAGGGGGATCTCACCAGAGTCTGAGGTGTGCTGTGGAGGGTTGGCTGTGAAGGTCTGGGTGCTGTTGGCAGCAGCACCAGCACACAGCAACAGTGCTGTTCTTCCCTTGGCTTCACACTTGGAAGAGAGAGATATGTATATTGAAACATTTTCACCAAGCAAAGTATACAAATACAACTAATGGGGTCCATTGTGGATAAAGAAAATATAATACTTTTTAAAAATGTTGTTGTAAGTGTAGATATAAAATTGTATGTATTTATGATGTAGAGAACAATATTTTGGAGGACATGTAAATTGTGGAAAGATTAAAGGCAATTAATTAAATTGTGTTTCATCACCCATACTTGTTTTTGTGGTGAGAACATTTATCATCCACTTTTTTAAATATTGGAATTGTGTTACAATATGTCACCACTAACGACAGTCCCTAGGCTGTATCACAGATCTTCCCCACTCCTGCTTCCTGGGTGGCTATGACTATGCCCCTCTGACCACTGTCACCCCAACCCTGAGGAAGCCATTCCCTGAGCCTCTGGCAACCCCCACCCTGCACTGAGCATCTAGGCGATTATTTCACCTCCACATGTGAGTGTGAGCAGGGAGTGTTTATCTTTCTGAACTCACTACTGCTGGAGGGCCTGTTCTAGAAAGGCAAAGATAAACGTTGACAAGAATCTAGAGAAAGGGGAATGCTGCTGATATAAATGTAAGTATTGCCAATATGGGATTAAGATCAGAGTTCCTCAAAAGATTTAAAGTAGAACATCTATATGACCCAGCAGTCATACTCTTGGGTACTTATCCATGAGAAATGACCAGTGTTTGTAGACACATCTCCACTCCACTGGTCACAGAAGCATTGGTCTTGGTAGTTAAATTATAGAATGAACCAGTTTCTAGCCATTCATGAGTTGGACAGATAATGTGGTAAATGCAAACATCAAACAGCATCCCACTTTAATGAAGAAGCAGATCCTGGTCCAGGTTGCAGCACAGGTGCACCTGAAGTCCATGACATTAAGTGAAAAACTAGGCACAGCAAAGCCCAAAGTTTCAAGTCTTCTCACTGTATATCAACACAATGACTACTGATTTGTTTCTATTTGGGTAACCAGCATTTGAGAATTAAAGACATTAACTCTTCATGAAGACAGGAATGAGTTTCAGGCCAACCACAGATTTCCTCATTGCCACATCTGACACACAGCCAGCCACAGGGATTGTCCTGTTTCCAGACACACATGCAGCCTCACCATTCCTCAGTGTTCCTGGCTGAGGATCCCCAGGAATCCCAGCCCTCAGTTTATCATTAATTGTTTTGAACACCACAGGGACCCACCAAAAAGACAGAATTTTGGGCAGGTTGTGTGAAATTAGCTGGCCTGAGGGACAAGGGGGTCCAAAGCAGCATGTTGTGCCCACTACAGATAAATGAGGAAACACAGACCTCAGGGCGTGACTCATTTCATTCACTTATTAGGTCTCAGACCCAGGACACAGGGCCTCCATGTGGAGAACCAGACACACAGTATCCTGTTGCATAGCCTGTGCCAAGTGACACCAGAAAGGGGACATTCTTTACACACCCTCCTGCCTGCCTGAGCCCTGAATTAGGTTGGAGTTTATCTTTTAAAAGTTTTTGGTACCTTCCTTAAGTGATTACAACCCTTGAGGTTAACACTGACTGTCTGAAAGGACCAGAAGACACCTGCCAGTTCCAGAGTCAGCTCTAAGAGAACTGGTCAGGCAGCACCACAGTCACCCCAGCTCCAAGAAGCCCAGGAGAAACTCTTCTGCACAAAGCACATATTAGTCTCGCACTCATGGCAGAGGCCTGTGTGGCACCACCTGCCTTCTCCCTGAGGATGCAAAGCTCTGTGTATTAACTCCGTGCTAAAGTCTATGTGTAGTTCTACATGGAGGTCTATGTGTGGACTGAATTCCTTCATGAAGGCAGAAAACCTGAGGGACAGTGGGGGTTCTCCATGGTGTCTGGCCTTGTCTTCCTGGTAACAGTCAAGTGACACCCAGGCCTACCTCTGTTGAGACATCTATGGTGTCCAATGCCTTGTGGGTCTCAATCCCATCCTCTGCACTGCTTCCCCCATCCTGGCCCTTGCACAGCTGGCTTCGCTTTCTCCCTCCCAGCTGACCTATTGAGAGAAAACATACCATGACCCCTGCACAAGCATGGGCTGTGCTGTGAATCCTCCCTAAGCCTTGATGACTCAGTCTCCCCAAGTTACTGTGAGTTCTTGCACATTTGCAGGTACTTGAATGTTTTGGGAGTTTGACCAGAGTTCAAGTTTCCTGCCTTCCCAGCACGCCATTTTGGCCTGGAGCAGCTATTTAATAAATGCATGAATTAATGCCTACATTCACTGGCAAGTGACATTTCTTTCACTTTTCAAGAAAACTGTCCATTTTTTTTGCCCCAAATTTTGGACAACACTCTAAAGTTGCTTGAAATTTAACTTTTCCCAAACTGTTTGTCTCTGTCATCATTTAGGGTACAGAGCTACACATTATATTTTCTGCTTTGTTGTGTTTTTCTCAATGCCCCATGCAGCACTTCATGCTTACTACAGGAACAGTCTTTTTTGGGTTATTATTTTCTTTCCCCTCTGGGGTCTTTTGCTCTTTGTTCTTTTGCCACTGACCTTTGAAAATGTTTATGATTTTCCAGTTTTCGTCTTTTCTGGAGCTGAAATCTTGTGTGGTGACAGAGGGTTGGGGGTAATAATTAGGTATGAGAAGATTTTCTCCTAGCAATTTCATTTTCCTCCTATGATTTTACTGCATGTGACCAAGAAGAGCCCACCCTCATGAGGTAAGTGAGAGGGTCTGCCCTGTGCTTCTCCATGGAAGTCACTGGGGGAGAAAGAATGAACTCTCCTGCTCAAGAACAACCTGGTGGCACTCACTCACCTTGAGGTGAAAGAGGAAGAGCTGCATGAGGGACAGGACAGCTGTGGACAGTTGGGCAGCTCTAGTGAGGCAGGTTCTCTTCAGATGCTTGGTTTCCTGGACAACAAGATGGGAGTGATCAGAATCTAGCCAGCAGGCAGAGTGATGAGTAGGGGCTCCTGAGGGTGCCTGGCTTGGCTCCTCTGATACCTGAGCTAATTCAAGGAGACCATTAACTCAGGGACTCTTGTGTAGAGATGAATGCTCTACAGTGAATTTCCCTATGATTTATTTGTCTTTAGGATTATCTGGCTCTCAGAAATATACCTGAGGGAGGTGAAGACAAGGCCCCAAAGCAATAAGCTTATCATACAGATGGATGGATGTGCAGACTATAGCCACATCATGCTGTTCCCGTGGCTCTGCATGAAAGATTATGCACAGGGCAGATTGATGTCATCCCAGGGGAGTTTTTGCTTAAAACTTTCATGATTTATTACATTTGAAGCAGTACACTAAATGAACAACTGCAACAGTACTGTAGAATATGGAGGAGCTCTTTAGCTGGTTAGATATTTATTTTCCTTACAGGAGAGAACTTTATGGCATGTTATGAAATACTGCATGTGTCAGTGCCATTTTTCTTGAAGTGTTCTTCCTTCAACATGTGAACCTGTTACTCACAGCTGTTGTCAGTCTTACCCCATGAGTGTGGCTTTTTGTGTCCTGAAAAAGTAATTGAGCAGAACACACAGCAGTAGTAAGGGTGGAGGAATTTGTTAAAGGAAGGTACAGTGCTCCGGTGGTTAGTGGTCTGATGAGAAAACTCAAAAGTGCTTTTGACAGGAGTGAACGCTTCTGCTTTAGGATTTGAGATTTTCATTGGAAACTTTCTTGTGTCTTGTGGTGGGATTAAGTGACTCTGTCTTATTGGAAATCTTCATCCTCACATCAGGAGGAACATTTTTGCCTTTATGTGAGTCTTGTTGGAACCAGTGTTGGAGGCTGACTAACGGCGTTGGAGGAGGAGTGTGGAATCCGCAAGGCTAACGATGTCATAATGGCCACGTGGTCACCCTTGAGTTCCCCAAACCAGATTGATGACACATTCTGAGACTCATGGGAGAGGTCAAGAAGTGTGATAAGGGCCTGAGGGGATTTCTCAGGCTCATGTCAGGATATTATGGAAATATGGCCTTCAAGAGTCAGGAGGCACCCTGTTTATCAGGATCTTGATTGTAGAATGTGTCCCACACTGTCTATCTCCTGTCTCAAGAGGATCACTTTAATTTAGTTTTCCATTCTTTTTTTTTTTTTTTGAGTAGTGGAAATTTAACTCAGGACAATGCACTTGCCAGGTAGATGTGGCCCCACTGAGTTATGTCCTTGGCCCTAGTCTTCCATTCTTGTTATTTGTTTACTCTGAGAAAACTTTGGAGGAGATTAAACTGTCTGACTTGGTTTTGAACACCTTGTTGAACACAACAGCTTTGCCTCACCATGGGGACTGGTGAGGAACTTGTGTAAGCTGAGATCAGAAAGCAATGTTTCACCTAATGTCTACCATTGAGGCTCATCACATGTCTATGATATCTCCACCAACCTTCTTCTGTGCCCACTCTGTTGCAAAGAAAGGTTATGTGTGTATGACCCACTGAAGAGGTGGTTCTGTCCCTGTGGCCACAGGTCACCATCACCTGTCCAGCATCCTGTGGAGCAGGTCCAGGCGGTTGGGTGCAAAGAAACAGCTCTCAGCTTTACATGGAGAGGGGTCTAGGATCTAGAGAGCAGCAGTGTGGCAACTGACACCTGTGGGGAAGAAAGAATGGGACCAAGGGTAGAGGTAACAAGGAGGTTGTCCAAGGGAGAGAGGAGGAGCAAAGGGAGCTGTCAATGAACAATGTCATCTCCACTGGAGTCAGAATTCATGAAACAAAAATAACTTACATTTACTGTTTCAATAGTTGCTGGACTTGCCCATTGTGTTTGTGGGCTTCTTTGTATTTAGTATTTACTTTTTTTAAGCATACAAAGAAGTTGTATCCTTAAAATATTAAGTCCTGGAAAATATATTATGTCTCAGAAAGAAATATAAGCTACCTTTCAGAAGTGTTATGTTTTCATCCTATTGATGATTACATATGATACTGAGGCATAATTTTTTATTGTAAAAGTAATTTTTATCAAAAAGTTAGAATTGCACTTCATTATATGATGTAATCTTCTGTTTTAACACATGTGTACATTATTTGTTGATTAACTCAAATACTTAGGCTTTTGATCATTGCAAATATAATTCCTACCTTTCAATGAGGTCCTTTGCATTCTCTCTCTAGCCATTTTGAGCTGTATGATACAATATTGTTAACCATAGTACACATTTGTGTGGTATGACACACCATTCTGTCCTCTAATGGGCTATAGATTTATACCTGTTGAATAATTTCTCCTCTCCTTCATCACGTTCCCTGCCTCCCTTGTCTGGAGGAACCACTATTCTGCTCACCAGTTCCATAAGGTCAGCTTCATTTAATTCCACATATGTGCTAAATCATGTGTACCTTTCCGTACTTGGTTTATGTTCTCTATTAGGATCTCTAGTTCCATCTATGTTACCACAAATGCCAGAATTTTTCCTGCATATGACTATAGTATACCAATGTGTGTGTCTCCCACTTGGTTTTTATCCATTCATTCAGGGGTGGGTACTTTGGGTCATTCCATGTCTTAGTCATTGTGAATGGTGCTGAAATGCACATGGGAACACAGATGTCTTTTGGATGCACTGACTTAATTTCCTTTTGAAAAATATGTAGTAGTGGGATTGCAGGATCATAAGTACTTGGATTCTAATTAAAAGTTACTTTCATACTCTGTTCAGTTTTGGCTCAACAAACTTACATTCCTACAAACAATGTTCAAGAGTTTCTCTTTAGCCTCATGTTTGCCAGCATTTATCTTTTTTGTCTTTTATAAAAGCCATTCTGAGATGAGATGGTATAGTTTTGTGGTAGTGATTTACATTTCCCAGGTTCCAATCTTATTACTGAAATAAGTTACAAAAACATCGTGATATTGGCCAAAAAGTAGACATGTAATCCAGTGTAACACAGTAGAAATTCAGAAAAAAATCCTCATCATTACAGTCAAATCATTTGACAAATTGGAATAACACATATGTAGTCAGGACAAGCTCTTCAATAAGCATTCCTGAATAAGCTGGTGTCCACATGTAAAATAATTGTAGACATCTCACATATCACACCATGTACAAATATCAGGTCAAAATGGATTAATTAAAGAAATGTAAAAGAAACTATACAAAGAGATGAAAACTGAGGGGAAAACCTCTATGATATTCATCTACACAAGCATATTCTAATTAAGAAGGTAAGTTCACAGACAAGAAAAGCAAAAATAGACAAGTGGGATTACCTCAAATGAAAATTTTTGCACAGCAAAAGGCAAAGTAACAAACTGGAGACAACCTACAATATAGGATAAAATAATGATGAAGTATTTATCAGACAGGGGCATAATATGCTGAATACATAAGAAATTATAAAAACAAAAACAAAATATAAATAACTTTTTTTTTTTGGTATCGGGGATCGAACTCAGGTCCTTGCGCTTGTGCAGCAGGTGGCAAAACTACTGAGCTAAATCCCCGGCCCCTAAATAACATTTAAAAAATCAGATATCAAGATTAAAATGCACAAATGGTATAAATAGATATTTTTCAAATAAAATATACAAATAGCCAACATGAGTATAAAAAATTTTCAACATTATCATTTTTTAAAGTTCTCCTCAGCTTTTTAAGTGTATGACTGAATAAAAATTATTGCTCATACTTAAAATACAGAATGTGGTGATTTTGTGTATATGTACACTGTGAAATGATTATATCATAGTGACTATTAAGACACCCATCATCTCACACATTACCTTTTTTGTAGTGAAAACACTAAAGATCTCTTTGCTTAGAAAATGTTAAGTATATAATAGAATTTATTTTTTATTTTTTATTTTTTTTAGGGGGATAAGGAGACAGTTTTATTTCAAGTGATAGGGAAAGGTGAAAGAAATGCTTTCCCTTCATTTAAACTCAATGCCATATCCAGGGCTGGGTCAAAGCAGGTCATTTGTGCCTTAGAACGAAAGGTCTTTGCCTTCCTTTTCCACTCCAGGGGAGGAGTGCATGCAGATGGGTAACAAAAAATATATCCCCGTGGGTTTTGGTTTTGGTTGACTTTTAAAGAGCAGCACTGTGGTTTGACTATTTTCCCCAAATTTCATGTGTTGAAAACCTAATCCCCAGCTCTCATTGTTTGTAGGAATGCAAATGGTAATTATGAATAAAGCTTCTGTGAACATCTATGTGCAGGGTTTTGTATGACTATAAATTTTCAACTCTTATCCATAAATACCAAGGAGCACAATGCTGGGTCATATGGTAAGGCTGTGTTCTTGTGAGAAGCCACCGAGTGTCTTCTGTATCATTTTGCTTCCTATCAGCAGTGAGTTCCTGTTGCTCTACATCTTTCAGCATTTGGTGTCATCAGTTTTTTTTTGGATCTTAGTGACTCTTAAGTGTGTCATTGTCATTTCAATTTGCATTTCCCTAGTGACACAGACTGTGGAGTATCTTCCATATGCTTATTTGCTATGTGTATACTATATCTCCTTTGGTGAGGTGTCTTTTCAGATCCTTTGCCTGTTTTTAAATTGAGTTGTTTTCTGACTGCTGAGTTTTAAGAGTTCTTTGTGTATTTTGCACATCAGTCTTTCATCAGGTAAATATTTTGCAAATATTTTCTCCAAGTTTGGGGATTGTCTTTTTGTTTCTTAACAATGTCCTTTGTGGAGACAATTTTTTAATTTTTTTGTATTAAATTCTTTTATTGGTACATTGTAGGTATACAGCACAATTACATTTCTCATTGGGAATTGTACCTTTATATAA